GCCTTTGTGATAACATAACTACAGGCTCAGCAACAGTGTATGATCTTTGCAGTAATGATACTCAGAACAAAACAACAGAAATAAAAAAAAAAAAAGAAAAAGAAATTGGCAAAAAGAACAGGGAAGGCCCAATACAAAGAATTTTCTTAGAAGACTTAGGTTCAGATCTTGACTGAATGAACCAAACCCTTGGCTTTTAGAGATGTAGAAATGTAACCCTATAAGCTAAAATTTGCATGAAACTTTATTGCAAGGGTGAGAAAGAACCATCCAGACAAAACCTGCAGCCGCTTTCGGTAAAGCCCCGGTTCAGTTTTAAGAACACACAGAGATGCACTCATTTACATTCCTCAGTTTGGCGAGCGTTAACATTTGCAGAAGTGTTTCGCTGAATCGCATCAGTGATGCTTTAGGAACAGTAACTGATACGTGTTACAAAAGGGCTCTTTTTCTTCTTGTTCCTCAGACTAAAACCCCTTATTCTATCTAAATATCAAAGTGTTTGTCACTTTTCCCACAACTCAAGACGACTGGCTCTTGACTCCTTGCCTTTCTGCCTCCTTCTTCTCCTCATAGTCAGTCTACAATAGAAATTAAGTGCCTGTTTTCTTGTGCTTGTCTAATATTCTTTCATCTCACTAGCAATTCAGACAGTCCAGGAGGGGTTGAATCCCCAGCAGGAACACTGCACACTGAGGATCCCTAAGTTTTCATCACTTTTAGCTACATTTAGGTAGACATAAACTGTCCTAATGCTTCAGCTCTTGTTACTGCTTTGAAATAGTATTAAACTGAGCAAGTAAAAAAATTAAAGTTCTTTTTCAAAAAATGCAGCCTTTTGAGAAAACAACAAAATACATTCTTCAGCCACATTTGCATTGATTAAAAGCTGTTAATATGATTTCTCTAACTGCTTACAATAAAACCTGTGCTTTCATTTTGCTTCATTCAGAATGTTTCCGATAGAGTTGAAATGCATTTCAGTTTGGTGTGCCTGTAATCTGAAACATACCATCCTACATTCTTCATCTGGAAGGGTATCTTTCCAAAAGTGTAACAATATAAAAGAATTTATGAAATGAGACCTTTTTATTCTACACAATAGTGCTTTGACAGGGAGGGAACCAAAAATGATGAAACAGAATGGGTTTTGCAAGTCTTTCTCCTGCACGGTATGTTTTGAGATTTATTTTTCCGTCTCCAATCACAAAACAAATCATAAAACTTTTTACGAAATGGTCTTTTCAGTCTTTTTCACAGGTGGACTTGACATCGACAACAGGAAGTGAATAGATTTAAGAGAGAGAACACATCAGTTTTATTTAGTAGTCCCCTAAAAAGAAAGTAGACACGTCTCTATAGTTACTCTTCCATGGCAAAGAAATAACACAGTCCTCCTCTGATTTTTTACTGCTTGATTTTCAGTATAATCTTTAATGTTTTATTTATCATCTTTTGTCAATTGAAGGGAAAAGAATCACCATCCCTGCCAAAAAGGCACTAAGCACCCTTTGCTTATGGTTACAGCTCCGATGAAAACCTGGCATTACTGAATTTCCAAGTGAGCTTTCTGTCCAGAAGCTTGAGGACTGATGTAAATGGCAATAAGTCTTTCTAGTAGGGATATTTATGCAACAGAACTATATATTTACAGATTATGCATATGAAACCTTAGCTGAGGGTTGATATTTTAAAATTACCCTGCAGCAAAGTTTCCCTTGCAGAGAATCCATGCAAGCTCCACTGATTTGAATTGTGTTCAAAACATGAATTTGAAAGGAAGCAACTCATAAAATGTAAGGGGAATCTAATTCTAATCCTCATAAAGATTACTTTCTCTCTTGATTGATGACATTTTCAAGTCAAACCACAAGAGACAGACAGAGACTGTGGTTGCAGTGGGGGAAGGACATAAAGTGAACTTGAACAAGACAAAAATATAAAATACAGTGTTAACGAAACCCAAATAGACACAATAAAGGGAGAGGTAAAGTATGTCGAAATGTTACACTGTGGTTCCAGCAGCTTAACTTGGGCATTTAAAAAGCAGAGCATCACACGTAAGGGTGACTCAGAGAAGGAATTTCTGCCAGCCCAGGCTTTCCTGAACAAGGAATTCAGGATTAGAGCCCCAGAAGGATTTGGCAAAAGGAAAGGCAAAGTTGGAAGGAAGATTTTCTGCACTCCACATTTCCTCAAGAGGCTATTTGCCCTCAAGAGTGACTTGCAGCAACAGTCTTCCGTGCTTTGCATGCTCCCTCCTCCCATGCAGAAGACACTAGGCGACCCTCATGTTGTTATTCTTTTGCTTCTTCTGATGGGCACCTTCCTTATTGAAAACTGTGCCGAGGAGACGTGCCCTTTTTGAAGAGCTCTTGTAGACACCTAACCACGAAGTCTGGTGCCTTTCAACCCCTATTCAAGAGATGCCTAAATTTGGGAGGCACGTGTGTTTTACTGGCAGTAGTGTTCCACAAGTGCGTAAGATTTGTCTCTAGCCAGGCCACGAATCCTGACACTGGTTTGCATACTGCAGCATCTATGCATAAATTTTTTATCTCCTCCTTATCAGGATGTGCTCTCAGAAAAAGCAAGTTTAGAAGACAGTGCGTTTGTGATTAGCTGTAACACAAAGCCAAATATAAAAGTTATTCAATATCTTTATCACCAGTGTGACAAATTTAATGTAAATTTTCACCCATACTCCTACCTCCCAAATACATACAATTTCTATAGAAGGAATAGTATCTAGGGGTGAGATCCCTTAGCCTGTGGGAGCAAATATCTTTCACTTGCAAAGACTTATTATTAGAGCTCTGTAGATACTTTGATATAGATAAAAATTTTCTGATTATTTTGGGAAGTTTAGGGTTGTTAGGCACAAAGGGTGCCACTTGAGAAGGATTTTTGAGGTGATAGAGTTCATGAATAGGTATTTACTATGGTAAGTCGTAGATAGAAGAGTTGAAATAGATAGCATTAAGGTTTTTTTTTCCAAGAGCTTTGTGTCAGTGAGTGCTTTTTCAAGTTCCCCTGAAAACTGACGAGTTAGTTTCGTTCTTGATATAGCTTTACTGACAAGAACAGAATTTCATCTGCAATGGATTTGGCTCAAAGGGGTTTTGCAGTTGTGATCATGTGATGTGCTCATTACTTGGAGCATGTTTGCTCTGTGTCATGTGCATGATATATTAGGAACATATCTCTGACTTCTTTGCAATTCCTATTTTCTTGTGCCTTTTTCTGGGCTCAGCTAGAAGCTCCTGAAAGACTGGCAACATTAGTTAACATCACTCGTTTGATACTGGCTCACTACTTCTGAATATTTTAGCTGATATTTGAAGCACTATGTCAAATTGGTCAGATCAAGACACAACAGAAATAAGCCCCCACGGAGCTTCTTGCTGCTGTAGCTGTGTTTTTTCTGCATCTGCACTCAGTTTATTTTTAGAGTTGAGTATCTCTCTACAGCATCACAGCCTTCAGTAGAGACTTCACCTTTGCCAGGTCTCAGGAACCAATCAGTAGTTATTGTGTGCAAGGTCTAGCAAGTTATTCAGTAAAAGCTTCTGTCAGAAACCACGGGTTTTGTCAGAATGATTATTTCCAACTGGAGTTAGCCAGCAGCGAGGGCTGATCGCTCTGAGGGACTGATCTGTTGCACTGCTTACAGGCTATGACCACACAATTAAATTAAAGGTCCTATTTAACCAGATCTGAGGTTAAGTGATGCCAACTGACTGGCATCTACGTTTATTTAATCTAACCTCCTACGGCAAGTGTGCCTTGCAAAGAGATGCTTGGATTAAGCAGTGCAGGTGATCAGAGTCCACCAAGGAGGAGTGCGCGCCTGAGCCCACCCTCTGCCCCTCTTTTATTAAACAGCATGGATGTGCCCAGGGTTATCAGCGGGCTTGGCATGGCACCCTTTTCAGGCACCTATTGCAACCCTTCCCAGAACTTACTGTTGCTCTGCCCTCTGCCTTTCTGGTCATTCATTGGCATTTCTTCACTTTTTTGACCCTGTAGTTTTGTGAAACTCTGTCCCTGTATTTGCAGCTTAATGACAGTAAGTACGCATGCTTGTAGCACATTGAGGCATGAGTTCTTGTTTGCAGCTGCTAAATGCTGCTACACTGTATAAAATAAATAAGCTAGACCATAAGCTATTGTATCTGCTAAGAAAGATATGTAGGCCAGAGAGTGAAAGCTACTGAAACTAATTTTGCAGAATTACAGGTGATGCCAATAAGACAGCTGCAACAGAGCATTTTTTAGTAGCTTATATCTTGTAGAAATTGGAACTCAGTACCTTTTTTATTGTTAGAAGAGGGCTTGTTACTTCGTTCTTACTTCTTTAGCCTGGTCCCTTTGGCCTGTAAGCTAGTTCGAGCAAATGCAATCTCAGTTATACATGGTGTTCTCAATTATACATGGTGTTTTCCTTATGTTCTGTTTATATCATGAATATACCAAGAATAATTGATTGCATGTTCTCCTTTCCCCAATTACAAAAAAAATCCAGCACTTACTTGGAATGGTCACTGTTTAGTTGGACAAAAAAAAAAGTCAGAAAATATTGTGTATTATTACAAGAAGCAAGGTCACAACATCCAGAGTAGATAGGATGGATTTAGCTCATGGAGATCCTAGAGCATAGTGTTCTCACGAAGACATCAATTTAATTTCAATTTGTGACATGTGTATGTTACAATAACATTAAGAGGTGTGATTATGTATGGACTGCAAAAAGTATCAGAAAGCCATTCAGTAGGGAAAAAGTAGCTCTTCAATGATAGGAAGAAGTGAGACTGGTAAAACAGTACCATGATTCAGAGGGGGAAGAGAGTTTTCAGGAGGTAATTTTAATGGATTCAGTTCAATTCAGAGATAATCTGTCAGACTACAAAGGGCTTTTTCTTGGTTTGATTAATCGAAGAAGTATGTTCTTAACTTCTGTTTTGACATATTGCTTTTCTCTCCTGACATTTGTCCTCTAGGTTCTTAAGCCAAGTGTTCATGATAACATCCAGCTGGCTTATACAGATCAACAACCCCCTTGTGAATAATGGTTAAAAACGTAACCCACCTGGATGTTGAAACGCTGGCAATGCTCCAGAATAAAGCTATCTCCATCACCCTCCCAGTTGTGTATACACTGGTAGCTATCATCAGTATCCCTGGCAACTTGTTCTCCCTTTGGGTGCTCTGCTTGCACATCAAACCCAAAACACCTTCTGTTATCTTCATGATCAACCTAAGCATCACGGATCTCATGCTGGTCAGCTGCTTTCCCTTCCAGATTTCTTATCACATCCACAACAATCACTGGAGCTTTGGCAAGACACTTTGCAGCCTTGTGACTGTGATGTTCTACTCCAACATGTATTCTTCCATACTGACCATGACTTGTATCAGCATTGAGCGGTACATGGGTGTGGTATATCCCATGAAGTTGATCAAGTGGAGAAGAAAAAGATATGCCCTCGCTGCCTGCCTAGGCATGTGGATTTTATTGCTACTAGCCTTCTACCCACTCGAAAGCACAGATCTGACCTACGAAGTGAAAGAATTGGGGATTATAACCTGTTTTGATGTCCTCAAATGGAATATGCTGCCCAACTTTGCAGCCTGGGTAGTCTTTCTCCTCACGTTATTTGTCGTGCTCTTCCTGATCCCTTTTGTTGTAACAGTTGTATGCTATATTGGCACCATTCGGAAGCTTATTCAGACGTCAAACAGATACGGTAACAGGCAGAAGACTAGATCCATATACCTGGCGGTCATAGTCCTTTTGGTATTCATCACTTGCTTCGCCCCCAATAACTTTATCCTACTTGCGCATATGATCGTCCGCCTATTTTATGACAGGAGTTTGTACCATGCCTACAAGCTCACCTTGTGCCTCAGTTGCCTCAACAACTGCATAGATCCCTTCATTTACTATTTTGCATCCAAAGAATTTTACCAGAAATTCATGCAAGTGTTTCGCCCTAAGGTACTGCTCAGCGACAGTTTGGAAACCAGAAGGGAAAGCTTATTCTCTGGCAGGACCATGTCAGCCAGGTCGATGTCAAGCGGACCTATGGATGGGTTAGAGGGAGTAAAGGTCTATTTGCAAAGGCAGGAAAGTGTTTTTTAGCCTCAGACATCCCCAGAAGAAAGGCACCTGTGAGATCCACAAGTAGACACAGAATACATTTCTTCTTGAATGGCTACCCTCAAAATACCTTGCTCCAGTGACAGAACTCAAGCCATACTTACATTGCGCATCCTCCTTCCATATTTTCTAGTAAGAAATGGAAGCATTAAAGAACTGAGTTTATTCAAGAAGGCACTGAAGCAAACCCAATGCTGATAATTAGGGGGTGACCTGGAATTAGTCCTACTGCTTGAAACCAAGGGGTGAGTTTAAAATAAAAACTCCTTTCAGGTTGTATGATCTCAGTGTGTAAGCAAAGGCTTTTGTTTCTCAGTGAATGTGAAATATTACTGTATATGAATTAGAACATAAACTGAGTTTGGATATGGGGTAAGGGGAGTTATTTTTTCTAAGAAATGTGCTGGGGTTTTTGTTTGTTTGTCTTTTTTTTTTAATGTAGTGCTTTCTCCTTTGTTGTATTCCTATAAAAGACTGAGTAGCGATAGCCTCTCATTTTACTATTAATGCATAATGCACAGCCACTGTGAATTCACCACAACACTCACCCAGCTTTTTATCAGAACCAAACCACACTAACCTTTGAAAAGGTTAGGTTGACTCATATTATTTATTTCCATTTTTTATAGCTAAATATCTCATACAGTGAAAGAAAAGCTAGAACTTACAACGTTTGAAACTACTTCAGCTGCTGAGTGGATTATATTTTCATTTCTTGAAGTTATTAATTTCTCAGGACAGTGGGGAGCAGTTGATCTAAGATAAATTTTCTCACATCGACCTACTACAGTAATAATGCTGCTGCTCATATGTGATTGGTATCAACAAGTCATTTTCAGCAATTCACTATAGGCTATATGCAGAAGCACCACCCCCCTCAGCAGAGAATTTAGCTTTACATAGTGCACGGACAGTGAGTTTACCTTTCTTATGGCAGTGGCGTGGATTATTAACCAGATTTTCAGCTGGGTATCTGAGAATTCAACCACAGATGGGAGTGGTTCTGTGGCAGCAGAAACCAGCTGAAAACCTGTCCCTATGGCCAGGTGTCAGAAACATACTTCTTTCAAGCGGGCAAACAGAAGAAGAAAAAATGAAATCAAGTCTTGAGAATGGGAGATGTACCAAATACCCTGGAAATAGGTTACAGCAGGTTGATTGGGCAGTTTTGTGTTTGGGACTCCTCTCTGAAATATCCTCCAGCTTGTTTGCATATACTGTGGCATGTTTCAATTATTCTCACATCTCAAAAACTGCTTGTGTGCTTGGAAAGACAACTGCTACAGAACAGGTACTGGGGCCAGACAAAGGCAAAGTTTTTTCCTGTAGTATTTTCAGCTTTTTACCTGCCTTTGGCCCTCACTGAAGGTGAAGAGCCAAAAAACCACCTGACAGAGCCAGACAAGTTTCCCCTCGCAAGCGAAACAAAGCCTTATGGTATCCTTTTGCTGCACTGCGACTCCATCCTACGCTGAGTAGGAGGCTGGTTTCAACATCGTGGATAGTTGGCCCAGGCACCACATGCTAGGGCCACCTTGCGCAGACCTATACTGATTTCTGAGCGCCTGTGCCTAAGTAAAAGACAACACTCACAGGCCTTAAAATATACCTTTTTTCTTTGTGTATGACATGATTAAAACACGATTTTCCACCACTAATCACATTAATTTCTTCACGATAGAAGCTGGATAACCACAAAATTAACTGTGAGATATTTGTATGTCCTTATCTTCTGCTAAAGCATCATCAGTTATTGGAGCAGGATAAATGTGAGTGGACCTGGTACTACCTGTCAAAAGCCACCTGAGTGTTTTGTGGCATTTCACAGTGTCAGTTTGAATTGTCCTGCACATGCATGTAACCCATCCAAACCTTCCCATCAATTTTCCTGGAAGCTACCCTGCACTACCAGCCTGTGTGCTGGGTGAGGATGGGCAGTGAGATGGGCTTGCTACTTTAAATCACCTTGCATGTGCTGAAAGAGAGGAGCCCATTGAATATGTTCCTGTGTGAATCTGGGGCTCTGAGTCCCTGTTCAGCTCTAGCACACCCTCCAAAATGCCTGCTGGTGCCAGGACCTCCAAAGAAAGAATGATGGCTCTTCCTAAGCCATCCCTCATCCGTCAGGCAGAACTTCAGTTAGTTTACTTATGTTTTGCAAACCTTTGTATTAATTTAGCAGTGTGTGGTTTCACCTTGCTGTTCAAGTCCCTTCACCATCCACTTTCACAGAATTCCAGCCTTCTCACTACCAAAACTGTTTTCAGCCTTTTGCTGTGGCAGAAACCTTTTTTGAGGTTATACTGAAATCTCTGTCCTTTTTTTTTTCTTAACATGCAAGCATTTTTACAATGAAAACCTTCTCCTACGTTCTCCTCTAATGCAGATTCTCACTGTTTTATCTTGAACCTGATCCTCAAGCACTTAGTCCCTCCTAAAATGTGCTACAATGTGCCTGAACTGTAACTGACACCAAACAGAGCCAAAAGCCCAGAAACTTTGCACTTTGGACATCAGCTTCTGTATTTTAAAAATTGCTGAGTTTCTCCTTTTGCAAGAGAAAAGATGCTCACAACTTACTGAAAATGTTCTTCTCTCCAGCCTCACACAGCTCTTCATAGCCCTTCATTCCTTTTCTGACATTGTCTAAAAAGGAACAGGAAGGATGCCTCCTTTGGGTACTTCTTCATGCCATTTTACTACCTAGCCTCTAGTTAGCTCAGATTAGGGAAAATTCCCATTTGGGTCAGCATGATTGTTCCTTGAGAAAGGAGTACAGAAAAGAACCCAACAACTGCAATCTTTTGAGGCTGATGGTGTATACTGTGAAGTCAGGGAGGGCAGGGCGGGCGGGGGGGCCTAGAGAGGAGGAGAAGAAATCATTAAAGTGGCCCAACATACTGTTCTTTGACACTGGAAACATGTCCTTCTGGGGCACCATAAGGTAGCAAGACTTCTAGACTACCCAGTCAGTGGGTGTGAGTTGACATATATATATGAAAATATATAAATATATATATATATATACACACACAAAAATATAGATTGTCATTGAGGTTATTGAGAAGTTCATGTCTATATTGCCTTTGGTTTGGGGAATACAGGTCCTGGGCGACATGCTTACTTGATTGCCTCTGTGGTTAATGTAATTTTACTGAGAAGACATGAATGTATAGGCTTCTGTTTGGTTTTGGGCTTTATTTTTAATCTATGAATGTGCTTGGATTTTTTTTATATATATAATTAAAAGAAAAACCTAAAAAAGACATGATTTAAGACTCTTTCCTTTGTTTTCACCTTCTATGTGTGAGAAACTTCCAAGCTTAGAAGAGGGCAGGGAAACAAAGTTATGAAATAAAATGAATCCATTTCCCATTGTGATTGTGCTTTTTTTTTGATTCCTGCATCATTTTAAGTCTCGTATTTTTCCCAAGAATTTTGAAGATTGACTTCTTTTTCTTTGCATACCTGTTCATTTTTTTCTTTATATATCTATCTATCTATCTATATATATATCTTAGAAGCTGGCATTAGCATATCCCCTTCACACAAATTTTAAAAGCAGAAATACTCAAACTCAAACTGAGAGGTTGGCTAACTTGGTATCCTTCTCCTTGGCCAATAGGTGCACCAAAACCATGTATTTTTGAATTTCAGTGCATTTCTGAAGGGGCAGCAGGGCCTGTCCC